GACATAACAAATGACAACAACAAATATCCAAAAAGACATGGAAACAGAAGTGCTTGGGTTGTGGTTATGAGCATTATCGGATGCTTGGGTTGTGCGTCACAGACCTCAGGCTGGCCGCCGTGCTTGGGTTGTGTGTCAGAGACATCTCGGGTGCCCGGGTTGTGCGTCAGGGACCTGATGACATAACAACGAGGACAAAATAGCGCCCAAGAAATATGAAAACACAAGTGCTTGGGCTGTGGTTATGACACTTCTCTGACGCCAGGGTTGTGCGTTAGGGACCTCGGGCTCGCCACCGTGCCTGGGTGGCGTGTGAGGGACACCCTTGATGCCTGGGTTGTGCGTCAGGGAACAACATCTCGCGACGAGGACTGGGGCATCCTGGGGGTGGCGTAAGTGGCGGATCCTCGTGTGGTCCCAAGCGCCACCCCCCAGGAGCCCCAATGGCCGAATGACATAACAAGCAACACCAAAACAAAAAAAAAAACAACACAAAATATGCATGCACAAGTGCCTGGGTTGTGGTTATGAGACGTATCGGATGCCTGGGCTGTGGGTCATACACACTTCGGATGCCTGGGCTGTGGGTCATACACACTTCGGATGCCTGTGTTGTGGGTCAGACACACTTCGGACGCATGTCGTCTGAGGCTCGCCGCCTTGCCTGGGTTGTGTGTCATGGACACTTCGGATGCCTGTGTTGCGGGTCAGAGACCTGAGGCTTGGGTTGTGGGTCAGCGCCCTCAGGCAAGCCACCGGCCCCGGGGCCGACCCCTCGAGCACGTCGTCGTTGTGCCCGCGCAACGACGACTCGAACTTCCTCGTTGCGACACTGCCAGAGCACTGACCGCCGCCATGAACACCAGAACCGTCATCACCATCGCCATCATCATAAGCATTGCCATCATCATTCTCGCCGTCGCGGCTCAAGGGCCCGGCGGCCCCCGAGGAGGCGAGCAGCAGAGCGCCAGCCTCGGGCCGGGCGAAAGGGTGGGATTGGGAAAGGGGGGGTTACGAAATTTGCTGCATGCAGCTGGTTTCGGCCTCACCGAGGGGCCCATTCCTCGATACATAGCCGCCTCCGGCGCCGGGAGGCGCCGGGAAAATCAGCTACGTGAGCTGATTCTCAAACCCCCCCTTTGCTATCCCCCCCTTTCGCCCGACCCGGGCTCCGCCGCCACGCCGCGTCGCCCCGCAGGCGCGAGCACCGGCCTCCTCCAGCGGAATGGGTGATCCGTGGCTCGTTTCCGACGAGGAGCTGGACGCGGAGGGGCCGGCACTGCTGGGCGGGGCCCAAGAAGCGGAGCAGGCGGCGCTGCAGGACTTGGAACGGCAGGCGCTGACGGATGCAGCCGATGACCACCCGGGCGAGGAGCAGCCGCCAGAGGCACCGGCGCCGGCGCTTGTCTCAGCGATGGCAGCGAGCGCCGGCGCTCCCTCTCGTCCCTGCCGCCAGCGCGGAGTCGCCAAGAAGCACTTGAAGAAGGCAGCGCCGAAGCCGCGCGGCCGGACGCTCAAGCGGTGGGGCTCAAGCGGTGGGGTTCCGGCGGGAGTGCAGGTGGTGAGTCGCTTGGCCGTGTGGGGCCCGAAGATAAAGGCCAAGATCAAGAGGCTCGGCGTGAGGGGCCTCGGCATTGGCGAGGATTGGGTGAAGAGCAGGAAGGCCGGGTACCGGGAGGCCATCGTGTTCTGGAACAGAGAGGACAAGAGCACGAGAGATCGCATTCCCGTCCCTGACGAGTGAGTTGCTGCGGGCGCCCCAGACCTGAAGTTACCGTGAGGAAAAATGCATGGGATCCCAGACACATCAAGAAGAAATGGCACTTCCATGAGTACATTACTTTCATGTTGGCGCGCGTTTGGCGCGTGGTCTGGGCGCATCTGGCGCCCTGGCTGTCATCCAGAACATGTGAAGTGCGTGGAGAGAGAGATTCGCTACATAGACATGCGTCGCACACAAAGATGGTGCGCGATTTGCTTTATACGTACCGTGCCAGCTGCGCGAGCCGTGCGCCGACCGCTCTGTGTCATCAGCCGCACACTGGGTACTCAGCTGTCCGGCAGGGCAGAGAGCCGAAAAAAAACAAAACAAGTAGTACAAAACAGAAGAAGTGCCAACGCAAACATAACCCAAAACATATGATAACATAAGTGCCTGGGTTGTGGGTCAGGGGCCAGGAGGGGCCAGGAGGGACCAGGACCCCTGAGCCCAGGAGGGACCAGGAGGGACCAGGAGGGACCAGGAGGGACCAGAAGGAACCAGGAGAGACCAGGAGGGACCAGGAGGGACCAGGAGGGACTAGGAGGGACCAGGAGGGACCAGGAGGGACCAGGAGGGACCAGGAGGGACCAGGAAGCACCAGGACCCCTGAGCCCAGGAGGGACCAGGAAACACCAGGACCCCTGAGGAGGAGGCGGAGGGGGAGGAGGACGAGGAGGCGGAGAAGGACGAGGAGATGGCGACAGGCGCGCGCTTCGTGCCAGCACTGGTCCGGCGGGGCGCCATCGCCGCTGCAGTTGCGGCCGCCGTTGTTCGACAGCAGGAGCAGGAGGAGGTTTTGCAGGCAAGTTTCTCCGTGTTTGGGTTTCTCTTGTCCCGCACCCGCGCTTCTCCCTCCTCCTCCTCCGCCTCCTTCCCCTCCTCCTCCTCTCCTCCTCCTCCCTCGTCGCCATTTTGGCTCGTTGCCATTTTGGCTCCAGGCTCAATTCTTCGTTGCAGCGTGGGCGAGGGCCCCGTGGGCGAGGGCCGCTTGGGCGAGAATCCTTGCGTTGGTAGCGGCGCTGGCGGCGACTGCCCCGATAGGCACGCGCGGCGGTCGCGGGGTCCAGGGCGACATCTTACGAAGCTCTTGGGCCTGTGGTGTTTGTTCGGGGCGCGGGGGCGGCAGGGCGCGTGGGCAGCGGGTCTGCGCGGAGCGGGCTGCCAGTCGAGCTCAACGCCACGCCGTCGAGTCGCGTCATTGCGGCCCCCGTTCATTTGGAAAAGAATCCTGCCCGCGCACGCGCTTTGCGTTTGAGTGGAGCGGCACGGGCGCGCTGCGCTGGCCCCCGTCATTTGGAGAAAAAACGGTCCCTGTCCGCGCGCGCGATTTGCGATTGAGTCAAGGGGTAAGGGCGCGCTGCGCTGGCCCCCGTCGTTTGAAAAGAATACGGTTCCTGTCCGCGCCAGCGCTTTGCGTTTGAGTCAAGGGGCAGCGGCTGTCAGGACTACGGGAGTTGTGAGAGTTCCGGGGGCTGCCATGGCGAGTTCCCGTATGGGCAATCCCCATTTGGAAACCCAACATAGGGAATCGCCATATGGGGAATACCCATACGGGAAATCGCCATGTACGGAATCCCAATGTTGGAAACCCCTTTCATACAGAGAGTCCCCATGCAAGGAATCCCCATACAAGGAACCCCATGTATGGGGGCCTTAATATACGGAGTTCTAATATAGGAAATCCTCAAATAAGCGATTCCCTACATGGGGATTCCTCACATGGAGGTTCTTGAAATGGTGATTCCTAACATGGTGATCCCCCAACATGAGGAGACCCCATATAGGGATTCCTTATATGGGGTTTTCCCACACGAAGATTCCGTATATGCGACGCACCGTACGGGGTATTCCCATACGAGGACCCCCCTTTATGAGGGATCCCCATCTGGGGATTTCCCATATTAGGGTTCCTTACGCGGGGAATCCCCATAGGGGTTTCCCCATATGGGCATTCCCTATGTGGGGCTTCTCTACATTGGATTCCTTATATGGGGTTTCTCAAGCTTGGGAACCAGAGGTTTCCCAAGCTTGGGAACCAGAGGTTTCCAAGGATGTCCCAGTCAAGCTTGCGGAAGCTTGGGTTCCCCAAGCTTGGGGAACCAGAGGTTTCCCAAGCTTGGCGCAGTCAAGCTGGTGGAAGCTTGGGTTTCCCAAGCTTGGGGAACCTAGTGCGTCCCAAGCTTGGCTCAGTCAAGCTTGGGGAAGCTTGGGTTTCCCAAGCTTGGGGAACCTTGGGTTTCCCATGCTTGGCTCAGTCAAACTGGGGGAACCTTGGGTTTCCCAAGCTTGGGGGACCTGGGTTTCCCAAGCTTGGGGGGTCAGGGGTTTCCCAAGCTTGGCTCAGTGAAGCTGGGGGAAGCTTGGGTTTGCCACGCTTGGGGAACCTGTGGTGTACAAGCTTGGCTCAGTCAAGCTGGGGGGAGCTTGGGTTCCCAAGCTTGGGGAATCAGAGGTTTCCCAAGCTCGGCGCAGTCAAGCTTGGGAAAGCTTGCCTGGGCCCAGGTTATATACTTTCCAGCGGGTGGGCAAGCGGGTGTTCACATCGTTTTATATAGTTTTTAGCGGCTGTTTCCCGGAATTCGGGTCGAAATTGAGGAATTTTTCGGAATCATTTCAGGGGTTTTGGGAACAATTCGGAAGATTTCTGTGGCAATTAGGGCGCTTTCGGAACGATTCGGGTGCATCGCCTCTCTTGCACGCGCCGCCGTGCGCAAAACATTTCGCCTTGCACGCAACCGTTGCGCAAGGCGTTCCGTCTTGCATGCAAAATGCGCGGCCGCGGCGCCCAGCGCAGCTTCACAGTCTCCGCGAGGCGTCGCCCGGGGCCGCGGGCTCGCGCACAAGGTTTCGTCGACCTGTCTTGCACGTGCCGCCGTGTGCAAGACATTCCGCCTTGCACGCGACTGTTGCGGCAAGGCGTTCCGCCTTGCATGCGAAGTGCGCCAGCCGCGGTAACCTACACGCCTCCCAGAGTCCTGCGAGGCGTCGCCGTGCCAGACTCTCCGAAAGCGCTTGGGACGCCTTTTCAGACGGTGTGATTCAGACGTAATTTATTTAAAATTGAGTAATTTAGGCGCGCAATGAATTTAATATTGAATGATTTTGCTCGAGTCATTTACCTTGCGCCGAGTCGTCACGACACAAACCTACCGTAGGGGGGCCCTCCGCTCCACTTCGATCTCACCCCCTCACCTCCGACCACAAACATGATGTTTGGATAGCGAGTGAGCGATCCCAGGACTCGCTGGTGTCGTCGGCGGGGACGCTGCCCGAGCCCGACGCCGCGGAGGACGGCGCGGACGCAGGTGCCGAGGGCGCGTTCCGAGTCGAGATCCCCGCGGAGCTGGGCGCGGCCTGGGGCGTAGACGCCGCCATTGGATGCGCATGCGATGCGATGCGATGCGATGCGCTACGGTCAAGAACTATTTCGACTTAGCGTGTCGCGCCGCCGGTTCTGGCCCACCACGCATCCACGTCCCAGTCCCCAGGCGCCAAACTCTGGAGCCTCTCCCGACCTCCCGCCCCGCGGAGGGGTGCGACACGCTATCCGCTTGCAAGGCATAGCGTGTCGCTGGGGCCGCCGCGGCGACATTCGAGGCAAAAGCTCCTGACGGCAGTCTTCTCCATTGGATGCGCAGGCTCAGGCAGAATGCGCTATTGCCCCTGGGGCCAGCACGCGACATGCCCCTCTGGCTAAAACTTGTGGATGCCCGCTTCGCGCCTTGTGCCCCTTCCCCCAGTCACCCGATTCTGAGATTCGGGCTTGGCCTCACCTCGACGGCGCCCCGGAGGGCTCGGGAGAAGGGTGAGCCGCGAGGGGGTCCGGGCCCGCCCCCTCCATCGAACCTTCCCCTCCGAAAGCGGGAGAGAGGCCAGACGGAGGGGGCTGGGCCCGACGCCTCTGGCCAGGGCACCCGCAGGGGCGCGAGCTGAACTTCCTCCCATGTGGTGCAATCGGGGGTGGACAGAACCCCCAACAGTGACACGTCGATTAGTGAAGTGTCCGTTTTCGGTTCTCGAGAGGGCGCCGTGGCCGTTATTTTCCAGGCTTACGCCCGCCAGGTTTGGGCCTCAGGTCGTTTTCTTTAAACCACGTTTACCAAAGGGGGTTCTGTCCACCCCCGGTGCAAGTTGTGTGGTGCAAGATATCAGGTGCAGTATACGTGGTGCAAGCGAGACGCTGCCACGAGACGGCCGCGGGCGGCAACGTGGCGGAACCGCGCCTGACCCACCCAGCGCCGGAGGTGGCCAGGGGGGCAGCAGCGGGACGAAGCCTGGCAGGACCCTGCCATCTCCTCAGTAGGACAGCGTAAGAGCCCCTGAGTGCAAGCTGTGCTTGGGGCAACTGCGCGAGGGTCACCGCGATTCGCGCCTTGAAGCCCGCCAGGCTCAAGATCCGTCAGCTGCTATCCGCGCTTTGTCTACGCTGCAACTTCGGGGGACCACGGCGTGTGCTCGAAACAGGGTCGACGCAGAACCGACGTAGATTTCATGTATTCAGCGCGAGCTCGACGTGCTTTCGGCGCAGATTGAACAAGGTCGACATGGTTTTGACTTCGATAGCGGCGCGATGGGTCAGACAAGGTCCTTCGAATCTGCAGCACACAGGGGGCGCGCTGAAGAAGGAACTCTTTTCATTGGGGAGGGGTTCCGTGTTCCTTCATGGTTTCGCGGCTTGCTTTAGGTTTTCCTGAGGTTGTCGCTATGAAATCGAAGTTTAACGTATGGAAAATGGGGGCCTCGTTCCTCATTTAGGGTTCCTTAGGTCAACGCCCCGACTGTAGTGTTGTTTGGCCACGCGCTGGCTCCTGCGAGGCGTCAGCGGCCCTGGCCGTCGCGCGGCCGGGTCCTGCTCTCCACTCTGGCAGGGGTGTGTAGGAGTGTCTGCAGGTATCGGGGATGAGCGGGAGGAACAGGAGGAAAAGGAGGAGGAGGAAGAAGAGGAGGAGGAGGAGGAGGAGGAGGGGTCCGACGACGATGGCCAGAGCGAGGAAGGGGAGAAGGAGGGTAAGTAGAAGGCGGAGGACGACGACGATGAGGAAGAGGGGAAGAAGGATGACGTTGATGAGGAGGAGGCGGAGGACGACAACACTCCTGTGTAGGAGGAGGACGGTGACTGCCCCCTCCCCCTGGTCGCTCCGCTCGCCTCCCCTGGCCCGCCCTGCCCGTCTCCGCGGGCCGCCCCGTCTGAGGTCGACAACAACACCCGGCGCGGCATGGGCACCAACGTCCTCGGCGAGCCTGGGGCAGGGGGCCCGGGCAGGGGGAGGGGGACCGCAAGGAGTAGGCAGAAGAGGAACATGAGGAAGAGGATGAGGAAGGGGAGGACGAGGATGAGAATAATGATGGGGATGGTGATGATGATGATGATGATGATGATGATGATGATGATGATGGTGATGATGATGATGATTCTGATGATGCTGCTGATGATGCTGATGATGCTGCTGATGATGATGATGGTGGTGTTGATGGTGATGATGTGGATGCTGCTGCCGCTGATGCTGATGCAGATGCGGATGCTGCTGATGACGACGGCGATGATGATTGATGGTGGTTGTGGTGATGATGAGAATGATGGTGATGTTTATGGTGGTGATAGTGATGATGATGACGATGGTGGTCATGGTAGTGGTGGTGTCGCTGGTGGTTGTGGTGGTGGTGGTGATCATGATGATGAGGGTGATGATGATGAGGGTGTTGCTAATGATGCTGCTGATGATGATGATAATGATGAT